TCTGTGATGTTTGCTCTAATATCTGTCACTTCAAAATGTGACAAATTTTGTATTTATTTATTTATTCTTTCATTTAGGTGAGCTATTTTAGTCAACAATATTAAAGGTTCAAATATAAGATTGTTTTACAATAAAATAAAATCGCAAAACCACTCAAATAATATAAATTGTTACAATCACACATGCCTAAGTTATGAAATTGTTGTAATTAAATCCTATCACTATTTTATTGACTAATATTATACTCTATCAGTAATTGGGTTTATCAAGTCTACTATTTTCTTAAAAAAAATAAAAAATAAAAAAATTACAGAATTGGTTAAAGAAAATGTTGGGAGTGTTCACCACGTGTCACATTTACAAAATTTCTCATAAAATATTGAAGTGTTCATGAAGTCTCGTATTTACAAATTTTCTCATATATCCTTGTACAAAACTTACGCACAAAATTATCTCATAATTATAGCTATTACCATTTCTATCCATTCATATTTGGGATCAGACCATATTTGGTAACAAATCTCAATTTTATGTCAAAGTGGTTACAGCACCTATCTCTGACCAAAAGGTCATGAGTTCGAACCTCCACCCCCGTTGTGTATAAAAAAAAAAAAATACAAATCTCAATTTTACCTTTAGATTTTAACTATCACTACAACACTCTAATAGTACAAAAGAACTCTACTATTTAAAATATAATGTAAATTGCTCAAGGTTAGATAAAAGAATAAAAGCTAAAATAATAATAAATTTTTTGTTTTGCAAGGGCATAAGAAAAAATTTAATAGTTTTAAAAGGGGAAAGTGAAATGTAGCGTATAAAAAGAGCTAATATTGAAAATATTTGTTTAAAAGTGGCCTTATGGCCTCCTTAGGCCCACTTGAAACAGGCCGGAAAACGCGGACGGCCCAGAAATATTTCAAAGATTATGGGCCGTAAATCAAGCCCATAAATCAAGTGTTCTTCTCTATAAACAAACTAGCCCAGTAGTTTTATTTTTGACAGCTGAGATGATATATATATCTCATTTGCTTGCAGTGAGGAAAAGACGAAAATACCCCTTGAGGAACATTTGGTAGGGTAAAGGCAAAAAGCCAATGTCTGATTCAACAATAATTGTACATGGTCCTTATTTATTTGTTCCAACCCACCATCTTTTGATTGAAAATGTATACTTTAACCAGTTTAGTTATTCGAGTTGGTAGTCCTTTTTTGGTATAACAAGTGGGGTGGAGGATTCGAACTCATGACCTTTTGGTCAATGATATATATCAATTACGATTGAGTTAGGTTCATGTTGGCTTCAAGTTAACTAGTCTTAACTAATTTGTGTAAATGTATTGTATTTATAATAATATTGATTTTTTTTTAGTAATTTTCTTTGCCGACGTATTATTCCCATCTATGTATTTTTTTTAATATTTTCATTTTTAGTTGGATAGGTATGCTAAGCCTTTAGTAAAAATTACCAAATGAGATTTGTAAATATGTTAGATGAATTTTATGAGACCACATTTTGTATTAGTGACTCTCGGTCATATATGTGCTTTATCTTATTTAAGAGTACAATCAATAACATTTGTTGAGTTTATCTTACTCCTTTCATAGTTTAACCACATATTTAACTTAGATATTTGATAAGCTCTAATTAAATGATAGAGAAGATAATAAAAAGTTTAAAACCACCGGATAAAATTAAAATTCCGTATTATTTGATAACTGTCGTCTTATTTTATGTAAATAGAACTGTTTAAAGTCATCTATCCGTGATGACTTTAAGAGAGGCTCAACCAACCAACTTGAGTATAACTCAATTGGTTAAAGTAATCTATTTGCGATCAGAAGGGTGTCTTCACTTACTCATTATACTAAAATACAATTATTTTAATAAAAAATTTAATCGAGGGTGAAAATTTTTAGGGTAAATTAAATTTTTGCTGGTTGAATATTATCATTATTGAAACAAATCTAAGGTTGTTGGAATTTGAAGATATCCATGCAATAGGGAAGGGTAGATTAAATGGAATAGATAAGGTATATATGTGTTTTGGAATGTCAAATAGGGAAAAAATACCAATTTGTGTATTGACTTTCTTTCCATCTTATTAAGAATAAGGTTTTGGATTCCTAAGAATAAAATGTTGTGCTTTATTCCCATGCCTCAATAATATTTAATTGCCTCACGGAGTTTCTTAAGAGCCATCTTCTAGTGATAATGGGTGAAATAATTCAGTGCTTTCAATTATACCCAATCTTATTCATAAAATATTCTCTTTCGATACATATATTCACTCGTGCCACAATCTTCAAGTGGCCACATCTTGATAATATCGTCTCTACCTACTCACACGAACGATTCTTTTTCTTTCTATCTTTCTAGCCTAACCAATTCAATCCACGTAGCACACATAGGGATTATATAAAAAGTGGTTTGATTTATTATTATTATTATTATTGAGTTCAACAGTATGTGGTGTGAAGATTCAAACCTTCAACCTTTTAGTGATAATATATGTTTTAATATCTTGGGTTCAAACCTCCCATTTATATTTAAATTGTAATATGTTAAATAAATGTTAAAAAATTAGCCACTAAGTGTTGTCTATTTTCAGTTTTTCTTAGTATGAGAGGGGTGGTGAATTCGAATTCATGACCTCTTGATCGGAGATAGATCTGCAAATTACCGTTGAGCTAATTTCATGTTGACGTATCTTGAACTTAGAGAGGTGGTTGATAAAATTGTTTGGAAAATAAAATAATTGTCGTACAAAATTTTCAAGTGGAATAAGGAGCATTTCAATCATGCCCATATTTTTTCTTTTTAATTTTTTAAAATAAAGGAATCCAACCTTTAGTTTGGTAGCATAAAGCTTCTTTTGAGCCTTATAAAAAGAGTGTTCTTAAGCCAATTAATCTCATTCAAGAACATGAAGTGAATTAAAGCCAACAAGTCAATCGTCCAAAAGACATACTCTTTGCTTTCTCTCCCTCAAGGGCTTCGACAATGATTGTCGATCGACATGATCCCATACATTGATTGTCCAGAGCCCTGAGGGAGGGAAAGCTAAAGGTACGTCTGAAATAGAAGAAAATGCAGCTTCAATAGATCTTATTTATTTATTTTTTTCTAAAATTCAATTCAATTCAAATATATATATATTTGTGAGCTTTTCTTCAAACTCTTTGATTATTGATTTTATGAGCATATATATGTCCTGATTTGATGGTGAAAATTAAGATTAAACTTTATTTTGATTCCTAAATTTTTATTACTTCATSTAGTTAGGAGCTAGCTTAAATTTTATCTTAATGTTTTATTTTAGTTTATGAAACTTTGCATTAAACATTTATACTTAGGATTTGTCATTCACCATATAATAGAGGAGATAATCTAGATCACAAAAACTCAAACTTAGATCGTCTCTATTTGATCTTTGTAGCGTTTTGCAATATATAAAAAGTACGTCGTATGTGTCTGAAAGATAGGTAATTTCAAAGCTAAAATTTGCGTCACTCGTGAAATTAACAAACATTGTAACTTAGAACATTAGACAAATCCACAAAATAAACTAGGTCCTATTTCATACCCCTATAGTATACAAACCCAACTATTAACCCAACTTATAATTTATCTTTCAGCCTTGAAAAAAGGAAAAGATAAATTAGGGAAATCATATTATTGGTGAAAAAGCTACCGATAACATTATAACATTTAAGGTCTGTTTGGTAACATTCATATTTCTTGTTTCTGTTTCTTCATCCTTAATAATAAAAAAATGAATTGTATGATCCCCACATCCATAAATTCAGATATAACAAAATAATCTTTTTACTTATGTTTTGGAGCAAATTAGGAATGAGAACAAGGAACAATAAATTTGTTTTGGTTGTTTTCAAAATTTACATACAATTTTGAGAATGTTCTCAGAAAAAGAAAAACAATAAATATAGTTAGTTGCAAATTAGAAACAAGAAACTGGAATGTGTCACGATTCGTTTGTTAACGTTCATGTTTCTTGTTTCTCGTTTCCAATTTTCACAATCAAAACAAGTTTTTCTTTCTTGTTCTCATTTCCACTTTGTTTCAAAACATAACTAAAAATATTGTTTTATCATAATTGAATTCATGGATGTTGGAGCCATGAAATTCATTTTTCTTCCTTAAAAATTAAGAAACAAGAACAAGAAAAAAGAACATTACCAAACGAGCTTTTACTGAACCGCCGAAATTTTTGGGGGCAGTGGGGAGGGGCCAATATATACAATTGAGTTTGATGCATGTGATGAACAGAGGTGGACATGACCCACAAATGGCAGGCCCTTTTATTTCAAAGTGCAATCTTTTCTAACCTTAACTAGGAAAAGCAACCTGCAATGTGAGATTCCCATGTTCCACATAGCAATTTAGAACAGCAAATTTGCTCAAAAAAGAAGGATTTTCTTTGGCCACAAATTAATTTTTGTAATTGTTCTTTTTTTCCCCCTTTTTCCCCCACCCTTTCCATTAGTTGTTTGAGAGAAATCCCAGGGGGCATATCAGTTCATAGGTTTGCAATTTGTTGAATCTAAAGTCGAAATATCTAAATTTGGGTAGTTTATGAGTTTGTGTTGGATTTGTATGAGTAGGTTTGAGATGGACAAATGTTAATAGTCTACAACTTTTGGTTGGTTCTAGAAGATTGCTGGAGCAAAACTACGACTTACCACGTGACGAAAGAAGAATAGATCATTATGAATGATCGTCGATAGATAAAAAGATAAACAATAACTAAGCTATTAAGCCCATCCAAAGGTAGGAGTGAATAATTTTCACCACGTAAAACTACTCTTAAAGTCACAGTCGACCTTAAGTAAGTACTCTTAAAGTCCTAGTTGAGGTATCTGCACAACTGTTTGTAATCGTACAACTTATTTTTCAAATGGCCTTAATAGACCGAAGATGTCGTACCCACTCTCTTCTGCCTATAAATAGAGATCGTTCAACTTCCATACACAAGTATGCAATTATAAATCCTCGGTTCGAGAGTGTTAAATCAGATTCTTACTAATTTAAGCATCGAAGTGTTTATACATGTGTTTTCCCTCACATATCTCGCTGCTCCACTATAGCTCGGCTCATCTGATTTTGTCCGTGCTCTCGGGTTGGTCAAATTTCAGCACCAACCAAAGATACATAATATAGTTTTATCCGAAGAACCATGTAATTAAAATGCCCCATTATTATTGATTTTCTACCTCGTGCACGAATAAACAGATCTCAGCTCTAGTGGATTCAATAATTTTAAACTTGTCATTGAATTCAAAACTTAAGACGTTTGCAATAAATTCAATTTCATGAACTAACAATCTAGAGATGCTTTTGATGTAGAAAATTCCAAAGTTACCTTTTTTTTTTTCATTAAAATTAGCTTCTTATGAAACCTTCTTCTGATCTTTCTGGGGCATTAATGGGAGCTGGCTGATCTTGATTCTTCTCCACCACCCTCACTCCCTCTGCAGATCTAAGCACATTTGCCTGTAATTTTATCCATTCAAACATAACATTCGTATGTCTTCTCAATAAGGGTAGTTTAAATCCAAACCAAATTTTGGAAAACCTATAAGAAAAAATAGTTAAAAAAACAAAAACAAAAAAATCTCTCTTGTTTTTACACACACTTATTTACTAAGATTGGGTTCCAAAAAAAGAAGTAAAATGAGAAAGAAGCTAGCTAGAACTCCTTCAGCTATGATTTTGCTTTTGGGTTTTTGGATTCATTCTCTAAATTTATGAGAAGAGTAGCTATATCTCCATACTTTTCTTTTCACTATTTCAAAACATCCTCCAAATTCCAAAATCTTAATTGAATAAAATTTTCAAACTCCAACTATAATTTCTAAAGTGGATCCAAACTTTTGTTGAGTGAATAAAGCACCAATTCCTATTCCGGAATGGTTAAACTAAAAAAACTATCATTTCTAAAATATTTTTATTCTCAAGATGTTTATCAAACGAAACATTAGATACCTGATGTTCGGTGATTTCGGCCGAAAACCCGTCAACAATGAGGAAAGATGAAATCTTTCTGTAGCTTGTTGGCTCCAGCCACCTCCCCAGAAGCTCATCGTGCTTCCTACTCAGATACAGATCAAGCTCATGTGCCCCTTTGCCAGATCTTCAAACCAAACACCCAAAAAAGAAAAAAAAACCCAAAAAAAAAAAAAAAGACAACACAAAAAACCTTGTTACAAACAACAGAAAATAAAACGTAAGAAAATTCTTTTTTTTTTGGGTCAAAATTGAGATTTTTGGTTCATGTGCAGAAGTTTACCGATCAGCACGAAGACGTTCATATTCAGGATCGTAGTTCATGAAAACGAAGTAACACTCGCCGCCACCGCAGTCGCCGCGGTTTCTATTCTCCGGCATTGTGGCCTTCTGCAGATGGGTTTCTGAAGAAGCTCGAAAGTGGAAGTATTTATAGTCTTTCTCTATAATCGGGAATCAATGTCGTGTGGTTTTAACAGTTGGATCACTATAACTAAAACTATCGACGATCGCTCAATATTGTAACAAACGTTGTGAGACTCGTCTCCAAATGGAATTATTTATATAAATGCGTGTACTGACCATCAGCCAAAAAAAGTATATCACAGTTCGATTTTCCAAATAAATATTAGCTTCATTTATAATTTACAATATATTATTATTATAAATAATAATAATTGTAAATTGAATTTTAATTAATGTATTTGTTTTAAAATTATAGGCTAAATTTTGGTCAGTAAGGGAAGGGCATCGAGTCTCCCCAAAAATCAATTGATTAAAGAGGAAAAGGGGTTGAAATTTCGTAGAGGGATTCTGATCATCTTCTAGGGTTTCRTGTGTGCATGAACTTGGAATCTCTGATCTTTAAGCTAATAGAAAATGGAAGGAAAAAATATATATTATTAGTCCCAAGTATGCTATTTTAACAACAAGATCAGTCAACCCTAATTAACCATTAATTAATTTGATTCTGGAAAAAAAAAAAGAAATCTAATTTCCTGGAATATTMGATTTTTTTTAATGATATGACATGATGTTGTTTACTTTAAATTGACTCAGAAAAATACGAAKTCTAGCTCTAAATATGAGTACACGTAAATAAATTAAGATCATTTATCMCTATCTAAATACACTTTTCTGAGTTAAATTGTTATTCCTTGAAAATGTTGGTAATTAATAATGAATTTCAATATAATAATCTTTAGATAAATGTCATTACAATGTACAAATTTACAACATCATTATTTCATGGTGAAAATGCAGCTTAGTAAATAGGTACGTACAATATTCACCAKTATAATAAATGAATCATAAATTTTATGTTTTAATCTTCTTTTTCTCCTGAATTTCCACCTATTTTTTATTCTAGCCCTTATATACCTTCAAATGTTTTTTTTTTAAGTTTAAAAATTGACATAAATTAAGTCATTCATTTCTATATAGGTAATCATGCAGAAAATTTTTTGATACTATGAAAGTATGGATACTTTTTCAATTCACTATTTGTCATGTCAATATTGTATTCGGTCTATTAATACTAAAAATTATAGTGCAAATAAAATGAGTGTCTGTAATTTGTATTTTTACAATCTAACACTAAAGTACATTTCCTTAAAAAAAAAAAAAGAGTATGTGTAATAAAAGGAATTGCGTAAGGTAAAAACTAGAATAAAAACTGAAAGCTCAAAAATGGAACTTAAGAAAAAAAAAAAGAAAATGAAGAAAAAAGGGTGTCTGTCAGAGCAAAAAAGAGTGGGTTTTTGAAGGACCAATTATGTGTCGCTGTCGTGCATGAGAAAGCGCCACGTGTCAACAAAAGAGGGACAATGGGTGGGGGACACTGGAAATAATCATGGGCCTAACCACAGGGAATCTCTGACCAACACCACAATTAAATGTTTTTGTTTGACTAGATTTCCTTAAAATCCCAACTAACCAAACAAACAAATGAATAAATATATATATATATATATATGTTTCAACTGGTAAGTTTTATTAATTTATTTATCTTGTCACGTTAAAAAAGAAAAAGAAAAAGAAGAAAATAAATAGTTTGTATTGGCCTTCAATATTACTAAATCTAATATAAAATTTATGTCAAGATTGTATCAGACTTATTGGTTCAATTTGATTTTCGTATATTTTTTACTTGTTGGTTTTTTTTCTACGTCTATGGTGGGGGCGAATTTACGTTGTACTACGATGTGGGCTAAGTCACTTTAGTGGCTATTAATCTACATTTCATACATCTAATATTTATAAGATGTTAATCACATTAAAGTAAATTAACTAAAATGTAATTCAAAAGATAAACAATTTTTATGCCTAGTTTTTCATTCCATCCCGAGAGTCATTTCTCAAACCTAAAGAGACTAAAAGTCGGGGAACATAAATTCTAACAATCATTATTAAATCGATAGGAAATACATATATTCTAACGTTCAACATTAAGTAAATCATATATATATATATATATATATATATATGGGTTAAAGTAGTATTTTCAAGTTTGATTTTCAAACATGGAAAACCAATAACAAAAGAGTTATTATATACAATACTACGATTTTATCGTATAATTACGAGCCTTCAAAATGATTACAATGAATAAATGTCAATCACATTATTAAATAATGTCTTAAGCGCCTCCAACGGTTAAATAATGTCTCGTGTCTCTGCCAGAGTGGTGGGGGAGAGGAGAGTCAGAAATACACATATTGGTGGTCTTTCAGCTTATCCAAAACAGCGCACCTGAACTACGACTTTTATGGGTTCAGTGAACAACGCTTAGTTCTCAGAATACACAGCCCCTGCTCCTCTGCATCATAATTTTTTCACGGTCAAACTTCTTTGCTGCTCAAATTTTTTAGGCCTACTTTTGTAACTGTCACTTTCGTAAATACAATATTCTTTTTAATTATAACAACCAAATCCTTATTTTGTATTAAATTATATCTTTAGTCTAGTTATTAATATAATTATTTAGTTAATAGGAGCGTAGCTCAACGGTAAATGAAAGGTTCAAATCCTCGTGCCCAATTTGGTGGTCTTCGCAATTTCATTTCTTTTCTAATAAAAAAGGAAAAAACGAGAAACAATTAAATTTGAATGAAAGTCTAGATCAACATAACTCAAGGTCAAGATATATATTTTTTATCTCCCTAAAATCGGAATTGGAGATTCAAATTCACCCAAAATATAACCTAAAAGATGCTCTCATCCCTTCGTCTTCAAGATCTCTATTATTTTGTTTTTCAATTTTCCGAAATCGATGTCATGTGATTTATGCACTGAGCAATATTCTTATTGATGAATAAACACCACTCAACCTAAAAGTTTAAATTTATGGATTGAGTAAATTTAATTCATATAATGGATATCTAACAAATACTGTGACCAGCGGTTCAAGACCCTCAATCCAAAGACCTTGTCACTACACCATCTTCACGTAATTAGGTATTTAGAAGGAATTTTCAATAAAAAGTCTATTGCTAATAAAATATTTGTAAATGTTTTCAAAAGATGTTGGCTTCCAATAGAAAAATACTATATCAATTAACTTATTAAAAGTACAAAAATGTACTAATAAAATAAAAATTCCAAAAATAATTATTAGACGAAGAAAAAAGATTGGCAGCTTATAAGAGATAATCCTTTATATGGGCCAAGAAATTTTGGGCCTTTTCGTGAGAAGAAAATGTCTAACGTTATTATTACATACTTTTCTTTACAGCGAATATAACCATTTTAAAATAGACCATTAAAAAAAATGAGCAAAACAATTTTGATTTTCTCACGTACGAAAGTCTAGCATCCCGGAATCCGGCCGTACTATATTTCGGAGGACCAACGTAAAATGATCTTTGCTAATTTTCAGGTACAAAATTATTCTAAAAAAATCTAAATGATGTATTATTTTTTTAAGAGTAGAATCCTTACCATATATATATATATATATATATATGAATTCTACCTGTATTTTTCCAAATATAATCCTACCTATACTTTTCAATTTAAATATTTTCCAGAGTATTATACTTTAAAAATATTAAAAAATATAAATAAAAAATATTTACAAAATTAAAATTTAAAACAAACACATACGAATTAATTTTTAAAATAGATAGTCATCATGATTTGATCTCATTCCCTCCCAATTTAGCTCATTTGAATCAATGGGCCACCCACAATGTACAGGATTTAATATTGCTAACCAACGTATTTTATTTTAATATAAATTAATTTTAAAATATATCTAGACATTATAGGTTTAATTATTATATTAATCAAATCTTCCATTCACTTGCTATTTTTTCTTATGACTAGTATTTTAGCATATTAATTTTTTCAATCAAAGCAAGTTATACATATGTGGAATTATATAAGGGCTGTTTGTTTTTCGAAAATGTATTGAATTTCAGATAGTCGGAATTTTAGATGTCCAGCATCTTCAGATAAACATGTTTGTTTAGTAGTAAAATTTCTTAAGAATGTCCGGGAATATTTGGATGACGGATTTAGTCTTGGAAATGTGTTAAATTTATAGAATGTTCCAAAAATGCTCTCACGAATACTTATATAATTTATAAATTCATTTAATATAATAGATTTATTTCAATTAATTTAATATTTTGTTTTTTTATATGTTGTTGCTAGAACAAATTAATTCCTATTAATTCAATATATATTTCATTTTTAACTTTAATATTTTTACAAAAAGACAATCATATAATTGGTATTATCTTGGGTAAAATTTATTTATCTTACCATAATATTATATTTTTTTAAGAGGAAAAATATCACAGATATATTGATCGTCAGAAAAATTATTGCTTCAAAATTATATATTTATGATAATAAATATTATTAATAATATAATTCCTTCAAAATATTAAAAATAAATTAAGATATTATATAATTTAATTGCAGTTTATTTTATATGTAAATGTAATGTACTAATATACTTAATTGCATAAAATTGCTTATTTAACTAATTTATTTAAATTACAAATTTAAAAATAAAAATAAAAATAAAAAATTGTTAAGGAAAAATAAATAAAATTGATGAAATAAAATATATAGGAAAAAATGAATGACAAAAATGTAAAGAGTGGATGCCCTCGATATCGGAATCTTGGATACCCACATTTCAAAAAGGCATCCAAAACTCGTTAGATGCCTCCCGTACGGACATCCTAAGATACCCGGACATCTTCATATATTTTCCGTAAAACAAATGTGAGAATCCATATGCAATGCGAATCTTGGATTCCCACGAAACAAACCGCCCCTAAGGGAAAGGAGTAAGAGAAGGCTTATAGTTTGTCATAGACTCAAAAAATATATATAAATTACACAAAATTTTGTAAAACTTAATTAAATTTCCCTTGAATTCTCATAATTAAAAGAGTTTAGAATTCCAAATTTTGGAGGTGAAAATGTGAAAAG